TTTTTGAGATTAGGCAAAGACCAAGCTCCTTCTTCCAATAAAGCGATCTAATTGTGCGAGAGACCCAGCAGCTCCAGACCGTTGTTTCGTATTTCAGAGACTTTAGTGAAGTAATTAAAACAGCGTGAGGTTCGTAAGCGCAACCATCTCCGGAAAAATCTCGAAGAGAAAATCCGTGAGACGAGCGTAATCCACTTAGAGAATTCTCAGTTGCTCTTTCAAAGGGGGCAGAGCACTGGGATGGATGCTCCAGAGGTTCTTCGCATAGGTCATGTGCATCTCTTGGAAGGACACGTTCCCTCATACTCCCGCTGGAAATTCTTCTAGCTCTGAATAGTCCAGGCGGAAGTTGGAATGAGATCAAGTGAAGTGGAAAGGAAGGGCTTGAGCGTGAATCCTTCATGCTCCATGACTATTCTTCTCCATCCTAGTGTGCCGTAATCATATAGTCATAGAAGGCATATTATGGGAACGAATTGGGCCATAACGAAGGATCTTTTTTTTTTTAATACTATCTGTCCCATTTGCTTAGGAGCTGCAAGTGAACGATAACGATGCATTGATGGGCGTAGATTGGAGTGCATTGCGTTTTTATGGAAGGGAGGGGAGGGGGAGGAACATCAAATGGTCAATCATGCTTTTCGCGTAGCTGTCCGAAATACAAGGACACAGCGTTACAAATGTCGCGAATTTCCGGAGAAGAAGAAGCAGCAGTTGGATAAGGAATGACTAGCTACGAGCTAAATTGGGTTGGAATGGAAGGGGATGTTACAGGAACCCAAGGTTGGACCTGGGGCAGGTTTTGGGCAATATATATTTTTTGTTCCGTTGTTGCAGTCCTGCAAGGATCCTCGAGGATGAAGGAAACTCTCAGACGAAAGAATAGATATTCTTCTTGAGTCGCCTTCGAGATGATAAGTTCTTTCAGTCCCGCCCGAATATGTGACGTCATACCTGTTGTATGCGGGAATCACGCTATCTGTTAGTGTGGCATGGTAGAGATTCCAGTTACAAGAAGTTTCAGCAAGTAAATCTGAAGTTCTTTGAGTTTACAACTATATACTTAGTCGAAAGGACTCGCTGGTCTCAAGCAAGGGTGACTAAATGAGCAAATTATGCAATGTGAAAGGCAGCTAACCCATCTCTCTCGCCCCTAATACGCATTAATGGGCTCCAACAACGGAACCTAATCTGCATCTCGTTCCACGGTGTCTCAGCTTCGCTGTTGTGGTAGTTTCTGATATATTATGGAAATAAAGCAAGACCTGGTATGAGGAGGGCGCGCGAAGGAGCTGACATCTGGTGGGAAGTGAAGGAGCATCGAGTATCGGATACTGATTGCAGATATCAAATTTGTCGTTTCTGCTCCTTTCTTAATTTCCTGCGAAGAGTTCATTCTGACTTCTACAGTCTTCCTTGACTGATTTCGTAGCGAGTATGTTCGCATGGAAGTTACTCGCGTGAGAGATCGTTCTCATAGACGACCATAGTCCGTGAGAATACTTATACGAAATAGGAGACTTCTTAGAAGTACTCAACGGTAGTGGATGGGAAGAGTCTCGCGTGCGAGACTCCCCGCAAGCATGAACTCTCCTTAACAGCGGAGGCTGGTAGCGCCTGTCAGTCCTAAATTATACCCGTTCTCTTTTATGGCTTATCGTGAGCGTTATGGCCCGGAGTTCCTCACGATGATGGCGAGAAAAACGATGTCCCATGATGCTCGAGTACTTGGGAGTCCATTATTAGATCTCTAAGTATGTACCAGCTGTTGCAAACTCCTTATGTACGTCATGTATTCTTTGAATGAGACAAATTTATATAAAAATGGAAGTTTCTTCTGTCTGCTTCAATGATTTCGACGGCAGGACTGACTAAAATATGCTGTCGACGAACATGCAGGTAGTGTAGACGCACTCCATATAGCTAAATAGAATTTAAATAATATAACTTTTTTGAATGTACAAATGATGAACAAAGAGGACGTCCAGTAATATCACGCAATGTAATTACAGTACTTCCATTTCTCCTCACTTGCAGTACTCCTCGAGGAAATGGTCCATGCACAAGGGGTACTGGTACCCATCGTGGACCATTGGACTATGGCCCATTTCTTCAAGAGCAAGTCCTCTGCTTTTATACCAGTGCCCATAAGATGGAAGAAGCTTAACGATTGCTGTTTCGTCTGCAGGGAAACGTTCATGGCGCCTTCGCGCAGAAACACATGTCTGGTACAGGGTCTCTATTTCTACCGCAATTCTTTTACGTTGCGAGTGACGTCATTGAAGGTGCGATAGATCTCTTCGATCGTTGCTCCCGTCCTGCAGTTAGTGTCAATAGCCCCGATCGAATAAAGGAAGCATTTACACGGCGCAATGCCGTCATACGGATGGCACTCATTTTGTCCTCGTGCCACGCCTGCCATGAAAGCGTGGCAGGCGAGGTGCAGAGGCCGCGTTGCCGTGCTGCGCGGGTCCTTCCCGACTGAGGACGATGTGGAGTTTAGTGTGTCCCTCAGGAAGGATTTGGTGAGGTCGGGATGGGAAGAGTCACACGTGTCGAATTCGCTCGCGAATCTTTCCTTGTTTTCCCGGTTTCGATCGAGAAATGAAACGAAAGTGATATATCTTCCGGCTCTCTTTTGATGCTCGTTTCCGCAATATGACGGGTCGGTCGTGCAGCATGCATGCGACTTGAGAAATAAGCAGCAGAACAGCCTTCTGGCAGGATTGAAGGGAGAGAGGAAAGATGAATCGTGTTTGACAACCAAAGCTCAACAGAGCGGAAAATCCGACCCGGACGCGAACTGCAGCCGACCGAAACTGTACAAATAACTTCTTATTCGAGAATGACGTTGCATTCAACTGTGGATTTTCTGGAAATATAAATATAGAGAGAGGGAGGGAGGAAGAGAGAACACTGGGGCATTGCAGCATACTGGTATTTTCATCATATTCGATTCTAGTGATAGTCATACTGACCCCTTCTACATTTTTCGATGTTATCGCCACGGTATGAAAGCCGTGGAATACCGCCCATGTTCATACCGTCACCATGGTATGGAAAACGTAGGACACCGCCTCTAATCATACCGTCGCCACGGCGCCATACCCAGAGCCATTTCTAGGAAAAAAATAACTTGCTAAATATCCTTATCTCCATCCACGGTGACGCACACAACCTGGGGAAAACCGAAGCCTTCCTGGAAGTCCCAGGAGTGTATATGATCCGGACTCCAGGCCCAAGATCCGTCAATTGTAGGTTCGACTTGCGCCTTGACTGTGGCCTCTGCACTGTGTGCCTGAGCCCTCAATATCAATATGAAACGTGCGGGCCATGCACAATTGTTTTTCTTCCCTAAGGTTTATTTTTCCCGAAATCCGAATCCTAGCAACTTGTGGTATTTATCCTGGGCACGCATACCGAATCTATGCATTTGAGTTGAAACGAACGAATAGAATCCCCTTACTTTCAATGGAAGGGCATCATACAGATGCATGACGAGCTCGACGTCATCACAGTAGAAAGACTCACTCTCTTCGTTTTTTATTTCTTCTGGGAATTCATAACTGAAACAGTCAACCCCCGCCCCACCCCCAGCTCCTCGTCAGTATCACCGAAATACCTCGGTATACCTATCGAGAAATTCATCGCATACCGCAACGCCCTAGAGAACACCTTAGGAAAATGTTATGAATGCTATGTTATGAATATTATGAATGTTATGAGTGTTTTGTTCTGTTTCTACTGGTACTCCAGTAAAATATTTATTTTCTCCACTTCACCCAGTACTAAAGCATAGAACGAGAACCAGCGTTCATAATCTCGACCATCATTGTGCAAAAAGTTGTCCAGTAGAGATCACAAAAAGGGGATTACAAAAATCCACCTTCTTGGATTCCTGGCTGAGAGTATCACGTGGAACGATACTGGACATGTTTCATACCTTCTGAACAGAGAATCACTTCAGCAAATTTGAAGCTCCATCTTCTCGGGGTTGCGCAGAAGGCGATATCGATTTTAACTAGTGTGAATTACGTTTTGTTTTTTCCGTCTCCTCCTATATGGCAGCCACACCTGGGGGGGATGGCCTAACCAAAATAAATATATGGGTATGCAAAGCGAGATATGTGCTCTTTCCGTTGTTGGCGATGCACCATTTCGTGGTGAAAAAAGGAAATTAGCTGTCGTTTATTTAGGCTTATCGTGCGGGCTCCAGTCCCATCCGCCACGGTTGCCGGATAGCGTGTTGGAGTCATGACGGATTCATGATTGCTTCTGCTTTCGTATCGATGCCCAGGTTTTGTAATGTATGATACGATTTTGTGCCGAGTTCCTTGGACGAGTTGAGATTGAACCAGTGGTTAGCGGTGGCCAATCGATACGGGATAATTAAAGGATGTCTATATTGCAATGTGGACATCCCTGCTGATGATGGTGTCCAGCATTCTTTTTTGAATTTTGGAGGCAGTCTGTCCACGGACATCCGTGAGAAACTCGAGGTAGGCTCATTATAAGCCTTATGTTATGCGTCCTCATTGAAATGATGTGAAACTCGAAATGAGCCCATAATTGACTTGGCGTTACACGTCCTCATCGAGATGGTGCGGGGAGCTCAACTTAAGCTCAGTGTAGGCTTCACGTTTCACCTCTCACCGAAATTTCTCGAAAACCCCAAGATTGACCCAACATAGGAATAATTAACCCTTTAGTCGTGAGTTGCGATGCTTCCAGGCGAAAAAGGTAGACTTAGGCCTGATATTTCGTGAGTCAGGCCAAAACCTTGCAAGTCTCAAAGTCTCTTCTGATTTGAGCTAAAAGGGCGGATGGCGACAGAATAGGGTCAGGTGTGAGGGTACCAATAGGCGGGGGGAGGGCGTGAACCCCCAAACTCCCCCTCCCCTCTCCTTGAACGCGTCCCTGATGCTCATCTGACTGATCACAATCAACGATACCAATACCAAAATTGTCTAATTTTGTTTATTTTCTTGCATATCTTTTCAGTTCGGCTTCTTTTTTGTTGGGCGGAAATTAGGCTCATTGTTGTTGCACTGCTGAACGTGTAGGAATGCAATATTTTAGACATTTTAAAAACAATTTTCAAAGGGAGATGTCACTCTCATCGCCCTTATTCTCTGGAAAACAGAGGTCTTCGAAGAATTGAGGGTCCAAATCTTCCAGGCGTGTCCCCGACTTGCACGTTCCAGTGACCTTCGGACGGAGTACTTCATTCGTCACTAGCCATGCTAAATCGCACCAACAGGACAAAGGATTTCCTGCAAAAACAACAAGTACCTCCAAAAGTGAAAGTTGTCTCTCTAAGGAATGTCAGAGCCCTTACAGTATAAGAATCATCTGAAAAGTCATGATTTTGCTATATATTTGTTCTACGTAAATCAATTTAGCATTCATGATACCAGTTTACCCATGTCTCGAAAGGACAGGAATGTAAGAAAGCTTTAATTATTGTTAAAGTAATGCCAACCGGTTTGTCTGGAATATTTTCATACCGTGCAAGTCTAATGACCCGGTTCCCTGAGCCAGAATCTCCACCATTGGCCTGAAGGAAGCTTCGTGCAATTCTTCGATGACGTTCTGTCCCAGATTTATGAATGTGTCAGGAACCAGACCTGATCATATTGAGAGAAAGATAATGTTATCAGTCATTTAATGGGGCATTTGAGCCAAGGTATATAGATGTGAAGCATCTATATAGAGAGCTCGAGCGTCTTCGATTTACCTTGATTTGAGCAAGAGGAAGACCTTACCTGTAATAGCTCCTGGTTCAAGACTTGATATGCTGTTAACATGCAGAGCCAAGAATTGTAACGCGGGGCTATTGAATTCCAAGAATCTTTCTGGAAGTTCAGGTCCGAATTGGTTACCGTGAAGCTCCATACGAGTCAAGTTTTGCATAGTTACCACTAACATTAGTGGCAACTCCATGAGGAACGTGTTTTCTCCTACAAAGGAATAAGTAAATATATAGGATTCAAAAGTCCTTTGGTATACAGCAAGAATCTTCCAGAATCACGCAAAAAACTGCAAGTAAGCTAAATTCGGGCGTGCAAGCACTTTTTAAGACTAAAGCCAAACACATAAAGGGGCATGGAAACGGTTCCTACTCCTTTCTTTTGTCTCCTCACGTGACGCTGATGAGGTGGATTCACTCTAGATTGCTTTAATGTATATCAATCATTACAGAGTGAAATTCCAATAAAAATTGTTCATGGAAGGAAGAATTAGGAACAGTCATGGGGAGAAAGTGAAAGCTTGCACATGCGCAGATGGACTTTTCCTCGTTTGGATGGTTCCACATCATTCTACACGTGCATTTTGGTAATGCTGCCTGATTTACCCTGGACATGCTCGTGGATGAGTACGCGATTGCCGTCAAACTGTTAAAACTGTAGAACTACCCTCGATTCAGGTTAAAACACGAAATGCACGTTAAGGTGTTTTTCGTGACAATTTGCGTATGGTTAAAAGTGCCTGAGGAGAAATTGAGGTTCGAGTTCGAATTGTTACACAGAGATGGTGGGCCCTGTTTGTTTCTCGAGAAACTCTTTTTGTCTGCGCAGACGAGACCCTGAAGTTTTCTTTCATTAATTGTGGGGCTGTGATCCCGCATGATTCTAAGCTCTTCTTTATATATTTAAATAAATAAATAAAATAGATAAATAAATAAATAAATAAATAAATAATATATAAATAAATAATATATATATATATATATAGTGAAAAGGAAATACCAAAGGTGCCTGTCCTAATAATAATAATAATAATTATTATTATTATTTAAGTACGAAGTGGACTCATCTGCGTACACCAGCCCATGCAATGGGCATAGAACAGGATGCTTCGTATCTAAGGAATTTTTAATTGTAGTGGGATGGATTCCCCCATTGCCTAGATTGGTTTGGGTGGGACAGGCACCTTTGGTATTTCCTTTTCACTATCAATGCGCCTTGGTGGGAAGCAGGCCACTGCCCTACCAGGTAATCGCTTAATAAGCCGTTCTTTATTAAACTAGGACTCAACATTATATATATATATATATAATAATAATAATCAGGTACAAAAATAATCAGAATTTTGTTCTACACTTCTTCAGCATAGGAAAGAGGCAGCTATTTTCTTCCAATAATACCTGCTTGCCCATGTAAGAAAGAAAGTGAAAGATGATAATAATAAAAATTAGCTGATAAGATTGCTTGGGCAAAAAGAAATTTTTGAGATGGCTAACTTTTGCAACCCTTCCCTATTATTAGAGGATGCTGATTAAGGTTATGACAAAGCCAAAAGGATAAGGTCTATTAAATTCCTGGTCAAGTAAGCAGAATGTTACCTGTTATTAGGGTTGCCCATCACAATCCCCAGAGTATTCACTATTTAATACTAAAGTCCCAAGCTTGAAATATCTTTCAGATGGAGATGGTAGTCTGGAGTTACTGGATGCCAAAGCTATTGAGATGGAAGAAAAATCCATAGAGAAGCCCAAATTTGTCAGTGAGATGCCTGCTGCTTTTTCCAGTGAGTCCAAGTTCATCTAATTTCATTTCTCTCATTTCTCTATCATTGTATTTTTACCTTGCTTCGAAAAATGTGTGTGGTACACTTCAAGCTGAGTAGGTCACGGAAAATAATTTTTGTTCATCTAACAGAAGGCAATTGTGTAATATTAAATTTTTTTTGCTGTTTTTGGTGCCTACTTAATTGGGGAATGTCCTTCATTATATGTCAAGCATATAATGGAAACATGAGCCTAGAGAACCTATGGAATTAATGTTTCAGTGCCTAAAGAGGAAAGAGAATCCCAAAAGAAGAGACTCGAGGGGAAAAGTAAATTTGGAGGATCGCCAAGACCAGGTGGGATTTAGCTCCATTTTCCTATGTAATTTATTCA